AATTTAAAGAGCAAGAAGCAGAAAGTAGCAAGACTATAAAATTGTCATTTTACTGATCATCTAATAGAACGTGGACTGTCTATCACAATTCACTACACTATCTTGATACAAGAATCAATCATATCCACAGTCAGTTTCCCGTAGCAGTGTGGCCCTTTAAATGCATTGGGTATCAAATGTATTACACATTTAGAATAAAACCTTTAAACTCTCCACTACAATCTTCTGATCCAACTATAGCAATAAAAACCTAATCACAATATAACTCTTCTCCAGTCCATTCAGAACGTATAAGATACACTAATATCAAACAATGCAAAGAGAAAAGTGCTGTATACACATCAACCAATAAAAATCCATTTTGGGCCTGTCTTGCTTTGGAAAAATATAAGATATATTTATCTATATGTTGCTGTACTTTGTATTTAACATTTACCATCTTGCCTTGCCTCTCCTCTTCTCTACAGCTGCCTACGATGATGATAAAATCGTTGGGGGATACACCTGTGGGGCATACTCTCAACCCTGGCAGGTATCCCTGAATTCCGGATATCACTTCTGTGGTGGCTCCCTGATTAACAGCCTGTGGGTGGTCTCCGCTGCTCACTGCTACAAGGCGTAAGTTAAATCCCCTGGATATATAATGGCAAACTTTAGCAAATTTTTGATAGTTACATAGTGTTTTTAACAGGTTAACACAGGGGTGGGCAAACTTTTTGACTTGAGGGCCGCAATGGGTTCATATATTGGACCCGGGGCCGGACCATGAGTAGATGAATGATGTGCATGTGTCATCCATAGTAAGTATAGTAATATTCCCCCATAGTAAGCATAGTAATTAATCCCCCATATAGTAATTCATCCCCCTTATAGTAAATTCATCCCCCATAGTAATTCATCCCCCATATAGTAATTCATCCCCCATAGTAATTCATCCTCCATAGTAATTCATCCCCCCCATAGTAATTCATCCCCCATATAGTAATTCATCCCCCATATAGTAATTCATCCCCCATAGTAATTCATCCCCCATATAGTAATTCATCCCCCATATAGTAATTCATCCCCCATAGTAATTCATCCCCCATATAGTAATTCATCCCCCATAGTAATTCATCCCCCATATAGTAAATTCATCCCCCATATAGTAATTCATCCCCCATAGTAATTCATCCCCCATATAGTAATTCATCCCCCATATAGTAATTCATCCCCCATAGTAATTCATCCCCCCCATAGTAATTCATCCCCCATAGTAATTCATCCCCCATATAGTAATTCATCCCCCATAGTAATTCATCCCCCATAGTAATTCACGCCCCCCATATAGTAATTCATCCCCCATAGTATTTCATCCCCCATATAGTAATTCATCCCCCATATAGTAATTCATCCCCCATATAGTAATTCATCCCCCATAGTAATTCATCCCCCATACAGTAATTCATCCCCCATAGTAATTCATCCTCCATATAGTAATTCATCCCCCATAGTAATTCATCCCCCATATAGTAATTCATCCCCCATAGTAATTCATCCCCCATATAGTAATTCATCCCCCATAGTAATTCATCCCCCATAGTAATTCATCCCCCATATAGTAATTCATCCCCCATATAGTAATTCATTCCCCATATTAATTCATCCCCCATATAGTAATTCATTCCCCATATTAATTCATCCCCCATATTAAGTCCCCAAGTCCCCCCTGTGTCAATTCACTTACCTTTGCTCCGCGCGTTCCTCTCGCCGTGTTCCCCGCGCTGTTCCGGTCTTCAGGGCGAACTGTGAGAGGAGCCTCCCCTCACGTTCCTCACGCTGCCCCGCCTACACACATTCTGACAGCCGATGTTTGCCATGCTCGCGCGGGCCGGATTAAAAGGTCCGCCGGGCCGTATACGGCCCGCGGGCCGTAGTTTGCCCATTGCTGGGTTAACATCATTGGCCAAACATGCATGATTTTTTTTAGAAAATGTAAGTTACTCAAATTAAACAATGTAACAATTGTGCCAAAGAATATCTAATTTTCTTTTGGTAATAAAGTTTGAGGAACATACTGTTTTCATTTTGTTTTCATAACTTCTCAGTGCTTGGCTATTGGTCATCTTTTGTTTTAATATTTTTATTGTTATAAATCATAACAAAGAAACAAATATACAACCATAGCCTTTGTAGTCCCTCCAAAGCCTTACAGTATACCTCGCAACGCAGGCGAAGCTCATAGATACAAACAAATCACATAATAACAGTGGAAATATAAATGAAAACACGATCCTGTAGCTCAGACCACCTTGCAAGAGGAAACCGTGGAACGGGTCTCCAGCAGACTCAAAGAGGTAGAGAGGTTGGACCGTAAAAACGAGGCCAAAGTGCCAAAGCTGAAAAGCTACAATCCCCTACAGCAGGTATAAAGGCTATTGGTTATCTTGAGGGATTATAATACACTATATAGCCAAAAATTTGTGGACATTATTATTATTGTACAGTATTTATAAAGCGCCGATAGTTCGCTAAAGCGCTGTACATTACAAAGGGGGGCAGGACATGTGACAGAACAATAACAATACAATGCAAAACATGAGGGGATTGGGGGCCCTGCTCTTTCGAGCTTACAATCTAGGAGGGAGGGGATGGTGGTACAGGAGGAGATAGCTGTGGGGGATGGAGTGGTAGAAGAGTGGAGGAGGTCGGCAAGTTAGCAGGGGGTGGGGTAGGCTTCCCTGAAGAGATGGGTTTTCAGGGTATGCCTAAAGGAGAGGAGAGTAGGTGATAATCTGATGGGTTGGGGCAGGGAGTTCCAGAGGATGGGTGACACCCTGGAGAAGTCCTGGAGGTGGGCATGGGAGGAGGAGACCAGGGAACTAGAGAGAAGGAGGACTTGTGAGGTGTGAAGTGTGCGTGTTGGGTGGTACTTGGATATTAGGTCGGTGATGTAGTTCGGGGCAGTATGGTGGACAGCTTTGTACGCCAGTGTTAGGGTTTTGAATTTGACCACAACATCTGACCACAACACCTACCACCCTTCTGGCAAGCAATCAGGAAAGCCCTTCTCTGTCTCAGCGCTGTGTACACGGCCAGCCCCATAAAGACATGGTTTGATGAGTGGACTAAGCAGTGGCCTGCTTAGTCCATACCTCAACCCTACTCAATACATTTGGGTTTAATTCAAATGCCAGCTGCAAACTAAGTCTTTTCCTCTAGCTCACAAATGTTCTGGACACACTTGGGTAGGGGGGATTCCATGATATAGTTTTGGAATAGGATGTTCAAAAAACACAATAGTTGGGGTTTACCAAGATATACATGAGATTAATACATTTGGGGAGATGGTTGAGGTGGACATGAATAGGCCCACAATTGAAGATAAACAGATGGTATAAGGGCATCTTCTTGAATTTTACCATCTCGTTTTGGTTAGATTGCCTGAACTGTTTTTTTATTAAATACATACTGCAGTTCACATTTTCAACTGGGCAGAGTTAGCTTTATTTATTATATAAAAATGTTTCATAACCAAAACTTAACCCATAAAAATGAGTGACTAGCCTGTCCAGTTCTAGCTTGATAACAAAATACCTTTCTAGCAAAATACTGTAGATCATAAGTTCAAATTTCTTTGCTAAAAAACATAGCATTGATGTAATAGCCTTTGAGCTTTTTAAATTCTCTGGTACACACAACACCCTTTCCAAGCCAGACTGACTTTCCCACTGCTGCTTTCATGGTGTATACAAATGTGAGTGTCTAACAGATAAAAAGCAATTTGTAGTGTGAGCGCTCTCAAATGTATACAGCAGCTAGAACACTTCAGGTAACCACAATACCTTTAAAATATACGTATATCAATGTAACAAAGAACAGTGCAGCTCTCAAGAATAAATAAATGGATGAAGACAAAATATATATATACATATAAAAAAGTCTGTGCAATATCCGCGGTATTGTCTGATAAGGTGAATATACTTCCGGAGTATGTACTGCCTCGAAATATCAGCAATGCGCACTCGCCAGAAACGCATGGATCATGCGCATGTAGGAATAATCATCCCAGGTATCCGATCCATCGAAGACCGAGTGGTGGGCGTCCTATTCACGGTGGGTCATCAGAAACACCTTGACAGATCCAGAGGTCCCCTTAAGGCTAGTCACACTGATAGCGTTGATCCCTCTTCTGGCTGGTGAGGGTGTTCTTTAGGTGATTTTATTAGTCAGACGTAGACGTAGACACGAGGAGGCCCGGCGGCCATCTTTATTGGGGTCAGTAATGCTGTCTTTTACCTTTACACATATGCTGTGATGTGCATACTGCCCTATTGCTATGTCTGACTAATAAAATCACCTAAAGAACATGCTACACTATCTCTGGCACCTGTTTTTTTTGGGGCTCCTTCTTGGAGCTGCTACTCCCACAGAAAGGGTGCCCTCACCAGCCAGAAGAGGGATCAACACTATCAGTGTGACTAGCCTTAAGGGGACCTCTGGATCTGTCGTGGTTTTTTCTGATGACCCACCACCGTGAATAGGACGTCCACCACTCGGTCTTCGATGGATCGGATACCTGGGATGATTATTCCTACATGCGCATGATCCATGCGTTTCTGGTGAGTGCGCATTGCTGTTATTTCGAGGCAGTACATACTCCGGAAGTATATTCACCTTATCAGACAATACCGCGGATATTGCACAGACTTTTTATATGTATATATATATTTTGTCTTCATCCATTTATTTATTCTTGAGCGCTGCACTGTTCTTTGTTACATTGAAATGTGAGTATCTGTTTAACTATAATTAAAGATATTAAAACTTACCCCTTAATATGTTCCAAAGAAAAGCACGTGATTTTCTAACTTTTTTTATATATCATTGAAATAGGACCATGCAGGTCAGACTGGGGAGAGCACAACATTGCAGTTAATGAGGGCACCGAGCAGAACATCAACTCCGCCAAGGTCATCAGAAATCCCAACTACAACTCCAGAACCATTGACAATGACATCATGTTAGTTAAGCTGGCCTCTCCAGCCACCCTCAACTCATACGTCAATGTGGTGGCTCTGCCCACTGGCTGTGCTCCCGCTGGAACCAACTGTCTGATCTCCGGATGGGGCAATACCCTGAGCAGTGGCAGTAAGTAAAAAGAAAACAGCATTAAAATATAGTATTATCTGTTAGCTAGTATTGAAATACATGTCAATAATGAGATTAAAGTTTTGTTTGGAAACAATTGTTGTTGATGTTCCAAAAAACTAGGTACTGGGGTATTAAGGAATAGTTTAATATTTTGCATTGGTCCTCCCACTATCCTTACACTACTTTTATGAATAACTTGGTTGTGTAGTATATTAGTATAATAATATCAATGGTAAAATTAGTTTTCTGTAGCCTAACATCAAGTCAGATATATTAGTCTTTTGCATTTGTCTGATGTCATTAAGTCAAGGCAAATAATTTGTATTGTATTGCACCATTCATTTAGTCATATTTCTTTGCCTTGATCTCTTGCAATTTGTTTTTTGCGTTTAAAGGAAGTTTGGTCTAGATTTAATAGTAATAATTCCAGTGACATGTAAATCAAACATCTGGCTGAATTTAAATACTATCAACAATAATAATAATTTTTGCCTTCCTCTGGATCAGGGGTCCTCAAACTACGGCCCATGGGCCACATGCGGCCCGCCGAGGACATTTTATCCGGCCCGCCGGGCAGGGGCGTATCTGCCGCAACGGACTAGGGTTTGGCAGGTCGGGAGAGATCGACAGGGCTCGGGCGGGAGGCAGGAGGGCGGGATCAGCAATTCTAGAACAGGGGAAGTTGGGCTTGGCTTATGAACCCGCACCACTCACCTGGCCTCTCTGCAGCCAGCCGGCCATCTATTCTGGTCAGTGCATGCAACCGTCACGGCCGGAGGGCGGAGCCTAGAGCTGACCATGAAGAGGGGGAGCAAGAGAGGAGACTCCATCGCTGCATGACGGGTATCACGGCCACGGACCCTAGATAAGTGCAATAGATGATCGATCTCCTCCTTCTCTCTTTCCCTCCTTTCTCCTCTCTCCCTCTCGCCCCTCCCCCCTCCTCACTCTCCCCCCTTCCTCTCTCTCTCTCCCCCCTCCTCTCTCTCTCTTCTATCTCTCTCTCTATCTATCCCCCTCCTCTCCCCCCCTCCTCTCTCTCACCCCCCTCCTCTCCCCCCCTCTCTCTCCCTCCTCTCTCCCCCCCTCCTATCGCTCTCTCTCCCCTCCTCTCTCTCCCCCTCCCCCCTCCTCTCCCCCCTCCGCTCTCTCTCTCTCCCTCCTCTCTCCCCCCCTCCTCTTTCTTTCTCCCCCCCCTCCTCTCTCCCCCCCCCTCCCCACCTCCTCTCTCCCCCCCCCTCCCCACCTCCTCTCCCCCCTCCTCTCCTCCCCCTACTACTCTCTCTCTCCCTCCCCTCCCCTCCCTCCTCTTTCTCCCCCCCTCCTCCCTCTCTCTCCCTCTCCCCCTCCTCTCTCTCTCCCTCCCCCTTCTTTCTCTCCCCCCTCCCCCCTCCTCTCTCTCTATCCCCCCTCCTCTCTCTCTCTCTCCCCCTCCTCTCTCACCCCTCCTTATCTCCCCCCCCCTCTCTTTACATTGTAAACAGATCTGACCCAGCAAGGTGTCCTGCATTTACCGTATATTTCGCTCCATAAGACACACTTGGGGGGGAAATGTCTGTGCGTCTTATGGAGCGGCCGGTCCGGCCCAGTAATTCCCACTGCCGCTGTATGTCCGCAGTCTCTGGTGATCTCCTGTACTGTGTCCGCAGTCTCTGGTCATCTCCTGTACTGTGTCCGCAGTCTCTGGTCATCTCCTGTACTGTGTCCGCATTTGTTCATAGTTTTTTTTTTTAAACTATAGTCCGGCCCTCCAACGATCTGAGGGACAGTAAACTGGCCCCCTGTTTAAAAAGTTTGAGGACCCCTGCTCTGGATCAACTGTGGGTATAGGATTATAACTTTTTTTTTTCTGTGGTTGAACTGGATGGACTTTTGTCTTTTTTCAGCCAGACTAACTATATCAGCGTTTTTCAACCACTGTGCCGCGGCACACTAGTGTGCCGTGAGATATTGTCTGGTGTTGTGCCGTGGGAAAAATTCCAATTTCATCTGTAACATGTGGCTTCGGCTCACAAATAGACCAATCATTAGAATCTAATGATTCAGTGGTCGGCAAGCCGCGGCTCGCGAGCCACATGCGGCTCTTTACCCAGTCTAATGCGGCTCTTCTGTGTGCCGGGCGCCTGCTCCCCTCCCTCCTCTCGGTCGGCCGCTCTCCCCTGCCTCCTCTCGGTTGGCAGCCCAAAAGTCCGCGCGGACCTTTTTTTTTTAATCCGGCTTGCGGATGTGGCTGTCAGGATGTGTGTAGGCGGGGCAGCGTGCCGAACGTGAGGGGAGGGGAGCTAGGCTCCTCTCACAGTCCGCCCTGAAGACCCGAACGGCGCGGGAAGACAGCGAGAGGAACGCAAAAGGTAAGTGAATTGACACGGGGGGGGACTTGGCTTACTAGAAGGGGGGGGGGGAATAGTACTGTGGGGGATGAAATACTATATGAGGGATGAATTACTTTATGAGGGATGAAATACTATATGGGGGGATGAAATACTATATGGGGGATGAATTACTATATCATCTGGATGAATTACTATATGAGGGATGAAATACTATATGGGGGGATGAAATACTATATGGGGGATGAAATACTATATGGGGGGGATGAAATTACTATATGAGGGATGAAATACTATATGGGGGATGAAATACTATATGAGGGATGAAATACTATATGGGGGATGAATTACTATATGAGGGATGAATTACTGTATGAGGGATGAAATACTATATGGGGGGATGAAATACTATATGAGGGATGAAATACTATATGAGGGGATGAAATACTATATGGGGGGATGAAATACTATATGGGGGATGAAATACTATATGAGGGATGAAATACTATATATGAGGGATGAAATACTATATGAGGGATGAATTACTATATGAGGGATGAAATACTATATGGGGGGATGAAATACTATATGGGGGGATGAAATACTATATGGGGGGATGAAATACTATATGAGGGATGAATTACTATATGAGGGATGAAATACTATATGGGGGGATGAAATACTATATGGGGGGATGAAATACTATATGAGGGATGAATTACTATATGGGGGGATGAAATACTATATGAGGGATGAATTACTATATGAGGGATGAAATACTATATGAGGGATGAAATACTATATGGGGGGATGAAATACTATATGAGGGATTAATTACTATGCTTACTATGGGGGAATATTACTATACTTACTATGGATGACACATACACATCATTCATCTACTCTTGGTCCGGCCCCCGGGTCCAATTATAAAATACTTTATTATTTCATAATAAAGTAATTATAAAAATAATTTCTTTGTGTTTGATTCCTATTCAAGAGAATTACTTTATATATAGTCAATATAGGCACAGAGGTAAATTTTTTTAACATTTTCTAATGGTGGTGTGCCTCGTGATTTTTTTCATGAAAAAAGTGTGCCTTTGCACAAAAAAGGTTGAAAAACACTGAACTATATAACTATATAACTATGTAACTATATACATTTTAAAAATTGATATATTTGCAGCTGTAGAACCAAACATGAGAATAGATTTTCCTTAACAGGGATCAAACTTTTAAGGGTTTTGTGCCTTCCTCTACAGGTTTAGGGTTTTTTTTTTTATTATTGATTTTTTTTGTTGTTAAACTTGATGGATTGTACACACATTAACAGTTTTAAGATCACCTGAAATTGTTTACCATTCCCATCATTTTGAACCAAACATATCAGAAACACTTCACTACCTGATTTTGTTTTTTAATTTATAGCCAACATGCCTAACCTCCTGCAGTGTGTGGACGCCCCAATTCTGACCACCACCCAGTGTACCAATGCTTACCCCGGTGAGATCACCGACAACATGATCTGCGTTGGCTACCTGGAGGGTGGCAAGGATTCCTGCCAGGTAATGTAGCCTTTCTTTTTCTTTTATCATTCAGATGAAACATTATTACTGAGTACAATCATTGAAAAAAAGTGGCATAAAGATTAAAGGTCGATTAAACCTTAATGTTTTAATAGCGGAATGCAATCCGACAGAATAAACAGTTAAGACTGTGTCAGATTTCTTGTTTTTATTAATATAACAAACTGCTGTGTGCCGTCCCAGTGGAATGATGGCTGTGTGTAAGAGCCAGGAGCGGACTGACCATTTGGAAACTCGGCCTGGGGTCAGTAGGGGGCCCCATGAGATGCCCCTGGTACCTTTTTCATAGGCTTTTTTGAGTTTGGGCAAGGAAACGGGGGCCCCATGATCCCCTATTGCCCGGGGGTCCCATGAGTTGTCAGTTTTCCCCTGCTAAGTGCAGTGGTCCGGATCTTCAGCACGCTGCCAGCCTAACACCCCCTCACACAGTCACAGTTATTGTGCTCCAATCAACAACGCTCATGTTCCCAGAGCAGCATTTTTGACTGGGGCACCATGCATGGGTCTTGTTGGACCAGTGCCATATTAAACTCTGTGGAGACCCCTAGGCAGTCAAAAACCTTGAGGCCCCCCTCTTGCAGGTTTCTGGAGGATTCTCATGTGATAACATTTAACTAAGTACGTACTACCTCCTAGATTGTAAGCTCCAAGGAGACGGGCCCTTGAACCACTCGTGTATCGCATTGTTTTGGTATTGTACTGTCTCATGTATTGTCTCCCATTGTAATGTACAGCGCTGAGCGAACTGTTGGCGCCAGGGGCAGACTGACCATTTGGAAACTCGGGCACTGCCCGAGGGCCCGGGGTCAGTAGGGGGCCCCATGAGATGCCCCTGGTACCTTTTTCATAGGCTTTTTTGAGTTTGGGCAAGGATACAGGGGCCCAATGATCCCCTATTGCCCGGGGGGTCAGTAGGGGGCCCCATGAGATGCCCCTGGTACCTCTCTCATAGGCTTTTTTGAGTTTGGGCAAGGACACAGGGGCCCCATGATCCCCTATTGCCCAGTGGCCCCATGAGTTGTCAGTCCTCCCCTGGTTGGCGCTATATAAATACTGTAAATAATAATAATACTATGTACCTAAGTTGAACCAAAATTTTTTTACAAACTGCTGAAAGAAGATCAGCTTCTAACAGACAATTGTGAGCTTGATGCCTATGGTTTATGTACTTTAGGCTTTTATTGGGTACATTGCATTAGCAAAGTATTTTCTCCATTGAGTCTTTAATGTCAAGTTTTCATTTGAGTTGAGTCAACAACAGGGGTGGACTGACAACTCATGGGGCCCCCGGGCAATAGGGGATCATGGAGCCCCTGTGTCCTTGCCCAAACTCAAAAAAGCCTATGAAAAAGGTACCAGGGGCATCTCATGGGGCCCACTACTGACCCCGGGCCCTCAGGCAGTGACCGAGTTTCCAAATGGTCAGTCTGCCCCTGGTCAACACTTCATTTTCATTTTCTGTCAAGATCAAACAAATATTATTTTGATCTGTTGTTGCGGAACCCTTAAACAACATGGGGCCAGCGGGCAGGTGCCTTCTCTGCCTATACAGTTGCAAGAAAAAGTATGTGAACCCCTTGGGATTACGTGGAGTTTTTGCATGAATTGGGCATAAAATGTGCTCTGAACGTCATCTAAGTCACAACAATAGAAGAACACTGTCTGCTGAACATAATACTACACAAACATTAGATGTTGCCATGGTTTAATTGCACATAACATGTAAACATTCACAGTGCAGGGAGGAAAAAGTATGTGAACCTTTGGACTTAATAACTGGTTGACCCTCCTTTGGCAGCAATAACCTCAACCAAACGTTTCCTGTAGTTGCAGATCAGACCTGCACAACGATCTGGAGTAATTTTGGACCACTCCTCTTCACAAAACTGTTTCAGTGTAGCAATATATTCTTGGGATGTCTGGTGTGAATCGCTCTCTTAAGGTCATGCCACAGCATTTCAATCGGGTTGAGGTCAGGACTCTGACTGGGCCACTCCAGAAGGCGTATTCTGTGCTGTTGCAGCCATTGGTTTGTTGAATTACTTGTATGCTTTGGGTCATTGTCCTGTTGCCTCACCCATCCTCTGCAGAGCTTCAGTTGGCGGACAGATGGTCGTACGTTTTCCTGCAAAATGTCTTGATAAACTCTGGAATTCATTTTCCCATCAATGACAACAATCCATCCAGGCCCTGAGGCAGCAAAGCAGCCCCAAACCATGATGCTCCCTCCGCCATGTTTTACAGTGTGGGATGAGGTTTTGATGTTGGTGTGCTGTGCCTTTTTTTCTCCACACATAGTGTTGTGTGTTCTTCCCAAACAACTCAATCTTGGTTTCATCTGTCCACAGTATATTTTGCCAGTAGTGCTGTGGAACATCCAGGTGCTCTTTTGCATACTTCAAACGTGCTGCAATATTCTTTTTGGACAGCAATGGCTTCCTCCGTGGTGTCCTCCCATGTACTCCATTCTTGTTTAATGTTTTCCTTATTGTAGATGTGTCAACAAAAATGTTAGTATGTGCCAGAGATTTCTGTAGGTCTTTAGCTGACACTCTGGGATTCTTCTTTACCTCATGCAGCATTCTGCGCTGTGCTCTTGCAGTCATTTTTACAGGACGACCACGCCTAGGGAGAGTAGCAACAGTGCTAAACTTTCTCCATTTGTAGACAGTCTGTCTTACCGTGGACTCAAGGCTTTTGGAGATACTTTTGTAATCCTTTCCAGCTTCATGCAAGTCAACAATTCTTGATCGTAGGTCTTCTGATAGCTCTTTTCTGCGAGGCATGGTTCACATCAGACAGTGCTTCTTGAAACCAGTAAACCCAAAACAGGTGTGTGTTTTTTAAGGGCAGGACAGCTGTCAGCAACACATCCAATATCATCACACTGATTGGAGTCAAAGTTGGCTCACTCCTGGCTCCAATTATCTCTGGGAGAAGTCATTAAGCTAGGGCTTCACATACTTTTTCCTCCCTGCACTGTGAATGTTTACATGTTATGTGCAATTAAACCATGGCAACATCTAATATTTGTGTAGTATTATGTTCAGCAGACTGTGTTCTTCTATTGTTGTGACTTAGATGCCATTCAGAGCACATTTTATGCCCAATTCATGCAAAACTCCACGTAATCCCAAGGGGTTCACATACTTTTTCTTGCAACTGTATGGTAGTCCATCACTGTACTTGACATTTGGAAAATCTGAACCACTACTCTATAAGTGCTGTGGACTGATTCTCCTACATGCTGCTGGAAAAAAAGGCATTTTTGATATACAGATAATGCATTTTAAAAACAAAAACCCCTACACATTTTTAAAATTTTCTTCAGCCTAGACACACCATAAAATAAAATGAAATATAAAAATCGTTGTTTCAATTATTTTCCCATAAGGTTTTGCTATTTTCTATTGTCTTTCACCTTTGTATTTTTTCCTAATTTCGTCTTCAACTCAGGCTAATTTGCTGTGTTTTCTATTTTTTTTTTTTGGTATTCCTAACCAAGTTATGCCATTGTGTTTCATATGTTTATATCAAACTGCCACATTTCCCTCATGTTCTCAAGTCCTAATATTTCTCTCTTCTTGTCAGGGTGACTCCGGTGGCCCCGTGGTGTGTAACGGACAGCTCCAGGGTATTGTCTCCTGGGGATACGGCTGTGCCCTGAGGGGCTACCCCGGTGTCTACACCAAGGTCTGCAACTACAACGGCTGGATCGCCAGCACTGTGGCCGCCAACTAAATATTCTTTTTATAGTCAATGTAATATTTTTACATTTTCTATTATTTTCACGGTTGTGTATCATTGGCTTGTGAATAAAGAAAAATAAGCTAAATGTGTTGTCTATTGTGTTAATACAACAAAAAGCAGCCAGGAAAATGACCTATGAGGAAGAGACACACAAATAGTTAACAAAAAAGAAAGACATAAAAGAAAACCAAAATGATTTATCAAAAAGGAAAAAAAAAAAAAACTTCTATAACTGATTACTACCCAAACACAATAATAAACTGAACTTCTATTTGATTAGCGGGCGGCACAGTGGCTTAGTGGTTAGCACTTCCGCCTTGCAGTAATTGGGTTATGGGTTTGATTCCCAACCATGGCACCTCCTGCATGGAGTTTGCATGTTCTCCCTGTGTTCGTGTGGGTTTCCTTTGGGTACTCTGGTTTCCTCCCACACTCCAAAGACATGCTGGTAGGTTAATTGGCTCCTGTCTACATTGTCCTAGTTTCATCCCTGACCATGTGGGATCTCCTGCATGGTGGGGGTTGGGGAAAGACCTGTCAACCTACCCTGTAAAAATTATTGCTAAGAGAATTCATGGAAAAAGTCACTTATGAGTGAAAGTCTAAGCAATTGCCAAGGGTCGGATATGACTGAATAGACAGATGGATTTGATTAGCACCCTTGTTTATATATCACATATGAAGAAAGAAAAGCTACATTACCTGGCAGGAATCCTTGCCACCCTCCAGGTAGCCAACGCAGATCATGTTGGCGGAGATCTGACCGGGTAAGCATTGGTACACTGGGCGGAGGTCAAAATTGGGGCGTTCACACACTGCAGGAGGTTAGACATGTTGGCTACAAATTAAAAAAAAAAATAATCAGTTAGTGAAGTGTTTCTTACTTAGTTACATAGTTAGTCTGGCTGAAAAAAGACAACAGTTGATCCAGTTCAGCCATAAAAAAAAAGAACATTATAATGGGTGGCACAGTGGCTTAGTGGCTATCACTTCTGCCTGGCAGTACTAGGGTTGTTGGTTTGAATTCCAACCACAGCACCACCTGCCTGGAGTTTGCATGTTGTGCCTGCGTGGGTTTCCTCTGGGTATTCTGGTTTCCTCCATAGACATGCTGGTAGGTTAATTGGCTCCTGTCTAAATTGTCCTAGTTTCATCCCTGGCCATGTGGGATCTCCTGCATGGTTGGAGTTGGGGAAAGACCTGACAACCTACCCTGTAAAAACAATTTCTAAGAGAATTCATGAAAAAAGTCACTTATGAGTGACAGTCCATGCAATCACCAAGGGTCGGATACGACTGAATAGACAGATTTGATTAGCACCCTTGTTTATATATCACACGTTTGGCATGGCCAAAGAAAAAGAAATCAAATCTCATAAGCAAGAGCCAATTGTTGTTCAAAACACTTCTGAGACACGAATACAAGTAAAGTTAAACCCAAGAACAGAAAAACACAGAAAAAAGAACTATTGATCCTGCCTGAAATCCAGTGTCATTTAAACTTTCCGTGCACTGAACTGAAATCTCAGTGTTATCAGCCTTCTCAGGTTGTTTCTGTAGACTACACATGTCTCTGTGGAAATATTTCAAATTGACTGTAAGCAAAATACACTCACCGGCCACTTTATTAGGTACACTTGTTCAATTGCTTGGTAACACAACTTGCTAATCAGCCAATCACATGGCAGCAACTCAATGCATTTAGGCATCTAGACGTGGTGAAGACAAATTGCTGAAGTTAAAACTGAGCATCAGAATGAGGAAGAAAGGGGATTTAAGTGACTTTGAACATGGCATGGTTGTTGGTGCCAGATGGGCTGGCTTAAGTATTTAACCACTTCCCGACCGGCCGTTGCATATAAACGGCAGGACGGTGGCACTGCAGGGTAGCTTGGATGTTTATAACCGGCCTCCCCACACCATGCTTGTGCGCACTCCCTGGGAGTGCGCAGCACCACGATCCAGTGCCCGCTGTGTCCTGTACGAGGTCCCGATCATGTGATCACTGATTGGCCAATCAGTGATCACATGCAAAGTAGTAAGCAAGATGTCACTTGTGACATCATTGCTTACTATGTGTGAAATCTGTGAATGATCACAGAGGTCACATGGTACAAGGCTATTCACAACAGCCTTGTACCATGTGACAAGCTGTGACCAATCACAGCTCACTCAGTACTTCTCAATGAGTGCAAGAATGCAGACAGAGAGAAAGAGAAATGATTGCTTTTACATCCTATATGGGTGTAAAAGCAATCAGTGTAAAAAAAAAAAAAAATCTTCATCACCCCCCACAAGTAGTACAGTGTCACCATGGTGACACTGTACTGCTAGGGTGACAGTATGTAAAAAAAATAAATAAATAATAATATAAAAAAATAAAATAAAAATGTTAAAAAAAAGTTTAAAAATTATAATTTTTGGTTATAAACTAATTTGGATTTTTTTTTTTTTTTACTAAAAAGATAACGGAATAAATTTTGGCAAAGATTTATGATGAAATTTAAAATTTTTTGGACATTTTCATTTACATAGCAAAAAAAAATAAAAATCCCAGCAGTGAATAAATACCACCAAAATAAAGCTTTATCTGTCTCAAAAAAAATGGTAAAAAATTCCTGTGGATACAGTGTTGCATGACCGCGCAATTGTCATTCAAAGTGTGATAGCGCTGAAAGCTGAAAATTGCCCTGGTCAGGAAGGGGGTAAAAGTGTCCCGGTCTGGAGGTGGTTTAAAAAAACTACTGATCTACAGGGATTTAACGCACAACCATCTCTAGGGTTTACAGAGAATGGTCCGAAAAAGAGAAAAGATCCAGTGAGGGGCAGTTGTGTGGACAAACTGGGGGGTTATTTACTAAAGCTGGAGAGTCCAAAATCAGACTCCCTTCTGCATAGAAACCAATCAGCTTCTAACCTCAGCTTGTTCAATGAAGCTTTGGCAATGAAACCTGGAAGCTGATTGGTTTCTATGCAGAAGGGAGTCTGATTTTGGACTCTCCAGCTTTAGTAAATAAACCCCCTGATGTCAGAGGTCAGAGGAGAATGGGCAGACTGGTTTGAGATGATAGAAAGGCATGCTATCATGTCATTATGAACCAAAATCTGAGGAGTGTTTCCAAACACCTTGTTGAATCTACGCCATGAAGAATGAAGGCAGTTCTGAAGGCAAAAGGAGGTCCAACCCGGTACTAGCAAGGTGGACCTCATAAAGTGGCCGGTGAGTGTATATTCCCATGGGCAATAAATCTAAAAGGCTAAAAAACAAAAACCTATGTGGCTCACATCCAAAGTTAAGTTAGCCATAAATAATAAGAAAAGAGCATTTAAAAAAATATAAAAATGAAGGAGCACCATCAGCATTAAAAGGTACAAAGAATATAACAGAACATATGTGTGTAGTGCTACTCCTGTAGAAGCCACTGGATTTACTGTTCAGGGCTTCCCCAAAACTCTGCCCCACAGCAAGGCACACAGGCTCATTCACTTATTCCTTCAATAACCAGTCTAGAGGTGTTGTTTTTTGTTTTAAAAAATATAGAAATGCGCTAATATAACCAATATTTAACCAATAAAAACAAGAGAAAAAACAATAAAAAGCAAAAAAACAAAAGTGTCCATATACCGTATTTTTCGCTCCATAAGATGCACTTTTTTTCCCCCCAAAAAAGGGGGGGAAATGTCAGTGCGTCTTATGGAGCGAATATAAAGCGGCCGGTCCGGTATTTCTGCCGCCACCATGTCAGAACACCGGGCCGGCTGCTCAGCTCTTCTCTCCTGCAGGGCCTTACCTGTTCCTCGCTCCAGCGCTGCACAGTCTTCCCGCGCTGGCTTCTGTGACAGCCGGGTGCCCACTGCGCATGTGCTGCGCTTTGTGAATGGTCGGTGTCTTCTGGGACACATGACAGGTCCCAGAAGGCGCCGGGCCATTCACAAAGCGCAGCGCTTCTCGCGCATGTGCAGTGGGCACCCGGCTGTCACAGAAGCCGGCCTGGGAAGAAGAGGGAAGGGCAACTCCGCGGAAGTGGGAGCGGGTACCTGTCAAATTCAGGTACCCACTCCCCCTCCCTCCCCAAAGGTCAGCAGTCTCTGGTCATTCCCTGCACTGTCTGCAGTCTCTGGTCATTCCCTGCACTGTCTGCAGTCTCTGGTCATTCCCTGCACTGTCTGCAGTCTCTGGTCATCCCCTGCATTGTGTCCGCAGTCTCTGGTCATCTCCTGTACTGTGTCCGCAGTCTCTGGTCATCTCCTGTACTGTGTCCGCAGTCTCTGGTCATCTCCTGTACTGTGTCCGCAGTCTCTGGTCATCTCCTGTACTGTGTCCGCAGTCTCTGGTCATCTCCTGTACTGTGTCCGCAGTCTCTGACCATCTCCTGTACTGTGTCCGCAGTCTCTGGTCATCTCCTGTACTGTGTCCGCAGTCTCTGACCATCTCCTGTACTGTGTCCGCAGTCTCTGACCATCTCCTGTACTATGTCCGCAGTCTCTGGTCATCTCCTGTACTGTGTCCGCAGTCTCTGACCATCTCCTGTACTGTGTCCACAGTCTCTGGTCATCTCCTGTATTGTGTCTGCAGTCTCTGGTCATCCCCTGTACTGTCTGCAGTCTCTGGTCATCTCCTGTACTGTGTCCGCAGTCTCTGGTCATCTGTACTGTCCGCAGTCTCTGGTCATCTCCTGTACTGTCCGCAGTCTCTGGTCATCTCCTGTACTGTGTCCGCAGTCTCTGGTCATCTCCTGTACTGTCCGCAGTCTCTGGTCATCTCCTGTACTGTGTCCACAGTCTCTGGTCATCCCCTGTACTGTCCACAGTCTCTGGTCATCCCCTGTACTGTCTGCAGTCTCTGGTCATCTCCTGTACTGTGTCTGCAGTCTCTGGTCATCCCCTGTACTGTGTCTGCAGTCTCTGGTCATTCCCTGTACTCTGTCCGCAGTCTCTGGTCATCCCCTGTACTACGTCTGCAGTCCATTGGTTCAGAATATTTTTTTTTC